TAGAAGACAAACAGATGCAGATGTAATATACAGACTTTGCAAAAGCCTTTGACAAGTGTGACCATGGTGTAACAGCGCACAGAATGCGTAATAAAAGAATAACAGGAAAAGTTGGTAGATGATCTATAATTTCCTGCAAATAGAACACAATGAGTAGTAGTCAACAGAGTAAAATCTGAGGCGGTTACGGTGAAAAGCTCTGTTCCACAAGGCACAGTACTCGCTCTCATCTTGTTCCTCATCCTCATATCGGACATAGACAGGGATATAAGCCACAGTGCCGTGTCTTACTTTGCAGATGACACCCGAATTTGCATGACAGTGTCCTCCACTGAAGACACCTGGAGTTTACCTGGAGAAAGTTCCGGGGGTCAACGCCCCCGCGGCCCGGCCTGTGACCAGGCCTCCTGGTGGATCAGAGCCTGATCAACCAGGCTGTTACTGCTGGCTGCACGCAAACCAACGTACGAGCCACAGCCCGGCTGGTCAGGAACCGACTTTAGGTGCTTGTCCAGTGCCAGCTTGAAGACTGCCAGGGGTCTGTTGGTAATCCCCCTCATGTATGCTGGAAGCAGTACAGTCTCGGCCCCGACACTTATTGTATGGTCTCTTAACGTGCTAGTGACACCCCTGCTTTTCATTGGGGGGATGTTGCATCGTCTGCCAAGTCTTTTGCTTTTGCAGTGAGTGATTTTCGTGTGCAAGTTCGGAACTAGTCCTATAGAATTTTCCAGGTGTATATAATCATGTATCTTTCCCGCCTGCGTTCCAGGGAATACAGGTTCAGGAACCTCAAGCGCTCCCAGTAATTGAGGTGTTTTATCTCCGTTTGTCTCGCCTTGAAGGTTCACTGTACAGTTTTCTAGGTCAGCAATTTCACCTGCCTGAAAGTGTTGCTTGTTAGTGTGCAGCAATATTTACGACTAGAATAGAACAATGTGACCTGAAGGGTGTCTATCATGGCTTGCATCCCTAGTTTTTGAAGATTCTTTTATCATCTGATATTTTTTTCTGCAGATGGATTGAATACACATGTTTTGGTCCTTGAAGGTTTGGTTGATGTCCGCCTGGAGCCTTGCAGTGTCTGCAATGGAAGACACTGTCATGCAGATTCGGGTGTCATCTGCAAAGGAAGACACGGTGCTGTGGCTGACATCCTTGTCTATGTCAGATATGAGGATGAGGAACAAGATGGGAGCGAGTACTGTGCCTTGTGGAACAGAGCTTTTCACCGTAGCCACCTCAGACTTTACTCTGTTGACTACTACTCTCTGTGTTCTGTTAGTGAGGAAATTATAGATCCATCGACCGACTTTTCCTGTTATTCCTTTAGCAAGCATTTTGTGCGCTATTACGCCATGGTCACACTTGTCGAAGGCTTTTGCAAAGTCTGTATACATTACATCTGCATTCTTTTTGTCTTCTAGTGCATCTAGGACCTTGTCGTAGTGATCCAACAGTTGAGACAGACATGAGCGACCTGTTCTAAACCCATGTTGCCCTGGAAGAGTTCAGGCGGACATCAACCAATTATTTAAATGGGCCGCAGAAAACAATATGAAGTTCAGTGATGAGAAATTTCAATTACTCCGATAAGAAAAAAGGGGGGGAAATTTAAAAAAAAATTTTTCCCATTTGGAAGTTTTTAAAAAAAAATCCCCCCACAAAATTTAGAGCGAGAAACTAATTCAAAGAGGGGAATGATCATGTAAAGGGGAAATCTCCCCTTTCAACCCGCACCCTCCTAGAAAAATGTCGGGAAAATGGATAATGAGTACCTTCAGAACCGGGGATGCCAAGCCCATGAGGGGACACTCTTTAGGTCGCTTGTTCTATCTAGGGAATATTACTGCCCCTAACAGCCCTTTTTCCAAAGAAAGGTGAAATTGCTGACTTGAAAAGTACAGAAAAATTTCACGGCACTCAAACTGCGTAAAAAGCACTTCAAAAACTAAAAAACTCTTAAAGGGTTCCAAAAACGGGTCCTCCCTAAAAACCCCAGGGGGGAAAGAACATATTATATACCCCGGGAAAAAATTTTTTAGAGCGATTTAGTCCCAAAATTTGCACACAAAAACCACTTCCACGAAAGAAAAAGGTTCGGCAGACGATCCCAATTTTTCCCCATTAAAAAAGAAAGGGGGGTTCACTAGAAACGAAAGAGACAACACAATAAGTTTAAAAGGGGCCCAAAAACCGGGGTTCAGCTGCCTTCCCCCATACAAAAGGGAAAGTTACCAATTTCCCCCTTGTGTCTTCAAGCAGGCACTGGACAGGCCCCTTTAAACCCGTACCTAAACCAGGGGGGCTGTGGGTCATCTTTTGGACTGCGTGCGGCTAGCAGAAACAGCCTGGTTTATCGGGCTTGATCTACCATAAAACCCTGGCCCAGATGGGGCCCGGGCGGGGGTTTTGACCCCCGGGGGAACTCTCTCCAGGTATGTTTGGGGACCATCCATTTTTTTGCTTCCCCCCGGGGGCAACCTTCTTACATTGGGGGAAACTTAACTGTCCCCTGCAATCTACGGCCCCTTCCTTTAAAACCCCCCCCGGTACTGCTTTTTGGGCAACACATCTTTTCCCCCTGGTCCAGTGCCAGATTTTTCCGTGCCCCTTTTCAAACCTCTGACCTTCTCTAAAATTTTGGGAACCATGACCCCCAACTTCCCCTTCACATTTGCTTTCTTTTTTTGGGGGTCGTTCCACTCACAGGGGGAAATTTGGCTAAAGCCTTTTTCCAAAAAAATCCCAAACTTGTAATTGACGACCCGGGCATTGTTATGACATTTCCTCCCCGGGCCCTCTCCGGTTATGACATTTACTCATCTCTGTTTTTCGGGGGAGACTTCCAGGGGTTTCCCCTTTCTCCAGAATTCCTCGGGCAGCCTCAAAACCCCTTTTTTTACCTCTCTCCCACGGGTTACCCCCGGTCCCCCCCCCCTTATGCAGTCCTCACCTCTATGACTTTTCTACCTTTTCGTCTTCTCACATCCTCCGCTCGTCGTTTTCTTTTCCCACGAAATCCTTTTTTCCGGGAAAAGGGCCCTAATCTTTTAAATTGAAACCCCTCCAAGGTACAAAACTTCACAGTCACGAAACTCCCTACCTCTAAGCCCTTCCTCCCCCCCCCCCCTCTTAAAAAATTTTGGTAACGGTTGCGGACACCTCCATGCCCGCTACTACCCCATCCTCCTCCTGTCCCGGCTCATGTTCTTTCTTTAAAACCCTCCTCTATCTTCTCCCTGTCTTCCCCTCCTTGGGTTTTGGGCGCTGATGCTCCCCCACTTTCTACTCCATCTCTTCCATCAGGGTTTCCTACTGTTTAAATTTCAAACAGAAACTAATACGATATATCAGTTTTTATTGAAGAGAAAGAACTGACGAAGGCCGACCCACCTCCCATACCCTTAAATTCTCCCCTTTCCCACAATTCTCTCACCCATAGCCACTCCCTATTTTTCTGTTTGCAATTACTTCCTTTTTAAATGACAATGGTTTTATAAGGGGAATATCAGAGGATACAAGGGAAATCGGGTAGCCCCAAAGGGTGTTGTTCTCCCTTGTTTTCCCCCTGCTTTTTATTTTTTTGGGCCGTGCCCTTTTTTGTGTAAGGGTATATTTGTTTCTCCCCGTTTTTTTTCCCTCCTCTTTCCTTTTACTACCCCTGACATCCATTTCCTGATTTCTTTTTTTAAACCTCCACCACTTTTTTATTTTTGGGTTTTTTAAGGGTTCATTTTTTTTCTTTGGGAAAAAGGGGGATCTCCAGTGATATTGGGGGACGAGTTGGGGGCTATTCTCACTTTAATTTTCCTCCACCCTTTACTTTTTCCCTTCATCGATCTCTATATTCCCCTTTTTCACCACTTTTAAACTTTTTAACCCCTCTTTTTTCCCCTTTTGGCAGTTAAAGAGAGCAGATTAGGGACAGGGGCCCCTTTTTGCGTCACGCGGGATAAAAAAAATAAAGGGAAAAAAATAGGGAAAATTTAGTTTTGCTTACGAAAAAATAGTTTAAAAATCTGTCAACATTTTGGGGGAAAAAACCTATTGTAAAACAGTAAATTTTTTTAACCTTTGAATATGTCTTGTGATGGGGCGGCCACGTAAAAAATATGCGTGAACGTGAGGTGAATTTTTAGAATTTTTTTTTTTTAAATTAAACTATTTTTCTTTCTAACACACTAATTTTTACCAATGAAATCATTTTAGTGGGGGACGACTATGCAGGGGGTCGGCAAAACCCTTTTTTTTGTAAAGGGCCACAGAGCTATTTCAATCTCTGGACTACATAGCGAATTTTTGAACCAGGGTTGTCCCTTTGTTTTTTTTTAAAACCAATTTTGGGCCCAATTTTTAATAACACTTAAAAACAATTTATCACAAAAAATTAAATAAACATTATTTTCGGGGGGGGGGAAAGCAGATATTCCCGTACAGTTGTTTTATCCCCCAAAAGGGGCAATAAAATCAAAAGAAAAAAATCCCGAGGGGGAGGATACGAAGAAAATTTTCCAGGGAAAAAGTTTAACCTTGAAGTGAACTAATTTCTTTTGTATTCCATAATAATTTGTAATTAGTGGGCCAGGTGTTTTAAATTGGGGGCCGGAAAGGAAACATCACGCGGACCGGATGGCCGGGGGGCCCGGGGGTTTTCCCACCCCCATTTGATTAGATTTTTCCCCTAAAGTGGCTAGTTTTTTTGTGCACCCCATATCCATCCTGTGGGCGGTAGCATAAGGGGGCATATGGATACCAAAAGGGGTAGGAACTAAGCCCCAAAAAGGGGTTTAAAAAGGGGGTTTCATTTGGATTTATATCCACAGTTACTTATCTGTTTTCAAGCAAATTTAGAAAAATTTTGCTTAGTATATCTTTATCTTATTTTATGAATAAGAGAACTTTACATTTCCCCATAGGGAATTTTTATAATGTCCCATCTCTGTATTCCTCATAAGAGGAAAAAAACCAATAGTGTTTTTCCCAAAAAACTGTTTCTTGCTTTGGCATAAAATATATAAAAAATTTTGGGAAAGATACAAGAAGATTAGCAAGGCCCCTGCGCAAAGGGTGACCCCGCAAAATCTGAAGCGTTCCCCAATTTTTTCAACGGTTTTCAAAAATGGGAATTTCCCCCCAAGGGGAAAGGGTTTCCCTTTTGTTGGTTTTGGGGGGTCTTGATTTTTGGGAATTGGATCTGTGCTCCAGTTCCCCGAATTTAAAACCTGAAAAGCCTTCCACATCCCCCAGGCGGGGTGTAAAATCCTCCGGGTTTACGCTTCCCCCCTTAATTTTTTTAAATAATGCAACCCTGGGATTTTCCGATTTATATGGGGATCGGGTTGTTGACTGGCTAAGTAGAGGGTGGGATGCTTCCCGTTAGCCAGGGGGGCTGGGGCTTATACCTTTAGAAAAGCGTTTATGATGAGTGTGTATCTAAAACGGGGCTAATTTGAGGGGGTGGGGGCGAGGAGAGGGGGCTAGAAAGCTGCGTTATGGATATGCAACGATGGGGGGGGGGTAAGGATTTAATTTGATTGGTGGGCCATGTTGCGGGTTTTAATGATGTGAGGGATCCAAAAGCGCCTCAAATTGAGGATTCTTGAGAGGGTGGGGGGGCAGGTCTGTGGTGGCGGCAGTTGAGGGGGCATCCCCCATGTATGCGTGGGGAATATCTGGAAATGTTTAGGGGCAATTGCGTGTTAAACCAGGTGTAAGGGAGGTAATGTTTAGGTTTCTACATGGAATCTTGGCCGTCTGGTGTTGTGTTATTTATTAGGAGACTAAGGGAGGGAGGGGAGTGCAAAGCGTGTGGATGTTCCGAGACTATTTTTCATGCGGTGTATTTTTGAAAATTGGTTTAGAAGCTGTGAGGGTATGGTTAGGTAGGGTAGTTAGGTTAGTGGGTGGGGAAGGGTTACAGGTGTTTAAGGGTGTTAAGTTTAGATATAGGTGGGATGAGTCAGATGGTGGTGAATGCGGTTGCGTATGTGGTCACTTGATTTTATTTATACATCTTGGGCTATGAGGGAGGTGGGTGTGGGGGGAGGTGGGTGTGAGGGAGGGGGTGTGAGGGAGGTGGGTGGGGAGGGAGGTGGGGTGTGAGGGAGGTGGGTGTGGATGAAAGATAAAGGTTTTTAGTGGCCACCATTTATAGAACTAAGTGTCGCAATAGGGATCTTTATGGGGGAAGGTGGGAGACAAACGTTTTTCTGAGGGATACCGGAGTTTTAAGTTGAAGGATTTACGGGATTTAAGTGTAAAGGGGTAGCGACGGGCTAGTTTCTTGAGCGGAGATGTGTGGATGGCTTTTTAAAAATGTGTGACTGGATTTGCACCTGATTTCATTTATGTTTTCCTGAGTAGTGAGTTGTGGTGTGGGTGGTGTTTTTTACACATGTGTTCCCTTTGTTGTGAAGATTTGGATAGTCATGTACGTAATGTATTGGAGCACTACATCATTGTGTGTATACAAGGTGAATGAAAAGGGGTAGAAACTTAAAATTTTTGTGTGTGTGAGAATGACTGTTCGTTATTGTGTGAGTGTCCTCAAAGATGTTATAGAAAGCACATACTACATGGTGTTACTAAGGTATGCCATATGACTGTTTAGAATATGCTGTGATACAAAGTCCGGGGTTTCCCTTCTTGTAGGTGCATTCTGTAAGACACAATTTCTTTTTCCTGAAGGTTCGAAGTTTTAAATAGCTGTAAAGAGTAACGTGTAATGAGTAACGAGATTGTATTTTGGCAATAAGGCCTAACAAAAAATGTTTCAGCGGCCTGGTTAAGATTATACAGAATATGTCGTGTGACACTGTATGTGTAGGGTAGTGTTATATATTTTAAGTACACGCTGTTGGGTTCCCTTTGCTTTTTTAATGTTTAAAGTCACATGTAAGAGTATATGTAAGGAATATAAAAATGTATATTAATTTTGTGTAAATACACAATTTTTAGATGACTTTGTTGGAGCAGGTATGCATATGAGTTCAAGTAGCGGTGTATATTATGTATTAATACTGGTATAGGGTATATGTGTATGAAGAAGTTTGGGTGGATTGTACCCGTGTTGAGATATAGAGTATATTATCCTTGTATGCTAGGCAAAGTTTTCATAATTGTTACTTAGAGCAAGTAGTATCCTGCGCTCTTATAGTATGTTATTGTTTTGTTGGTATTTGATGAGGGGGGGGACCTTTTTACTGCCAGAGCATATATGTACGACTTTATAAATGTACCTTTGGTGGGGGGTGGATGTATAGGTTTTAATGGTATGTGGTGAGGTTTTTACCTTTAAGAATTATTTTGTATATAAAACTTGTACTTTAATTTTGTTGTTACATGTTGATTGGTTTAGTGACATATGTTTGCTTCCATGTATAATGTATACTGTATTTTAAATAAAATATAAAAAAAAAGTGTTCAAGACAGTGACCATAGGCCTAGATCGACACCATGCCTAACCCTTCTAGGGTAGGGTAGGTGCCTGAGCCCGAGCCTTTAGCTCATAAGACTGTCATTCCCATTTGCCCCCTTGGGGCGGGGATGGCAGACCAGAGAGGCCCAGCTTGTGGTGGCCTGGGGACAGTTGGTCCCAAAGATGAGGAGGTACTTGTGCCTCCTCCCCTGGAGATTAGGTCTCAGACACTCCCTAAAAAAGGGAGCAAAGGCCGGGCCCCCTTGGACAAGGGCCCCGGGGCCCGGGGGAATACCGGCTAATCTTTAACTAACTAACATAGGCCTAGATCGACACCATGCCCAGCCCTTCTAGGGTAGGGTAGGTGCCTGAGCCCGAGCCTTTAGCTCATAAGACTGTCATTCTCATTAGCCCCCTTGAGGCGGGGATGGCAGACCAGAGAGGCCTAGCTTGTGGCTAGGCCTGGGGACAGTTGGTCCCAAAGATGAGGAGGTACTTGTGCCTCCTCCCATGGGAGACTTAGGTCTCAGACACTCCCTAAAGAGGGAGCCAAGGCCGGGCCACCACTTGGAAAAGGCCCGGGCCGGGAGAATACCGGCTAATCTTTAATAATAATAATAACATAGGCCTAACCACATAATTTGCATTTAGTTTGATTATCATCTGTGTGTCTCCCAAACTGCCGGAAGTACTTGTAAACAAGCCTAAGCCTGGCCACTACAACATCAGTCAGTCTGTTCACATTGCAAGTTGCTCCATAAACATACTTATCTACGTTCATGTTATCATAGTGGGTTATAGATCTACTCAGATTTCTAACAGCATTCCTGTAACAATCATTTTCATTATTTACTTCTTTCCTAATATTATTCATAATGCTAGACACAGATGTACCAAAGTTATTCTACATTCTCCTTTTAGATACTCTTCTTGGCTAACATATCAACTTTATCATCGAGGAGTAATCAATGTGTGATGGGATCCATAACAATTGTACATTAATTCCTTTGTCCCTGATTTTTGAGTATCTATACCTGGCTTCTCCAATGAGCATGTTGTTGGAATCATTATATTAATCAAGAGCCTTCAATGATGACATCGAATCACTAATGATAACAGAGTCAAGCTCGGGGTCATAAGCTAGCTTTAGCGCCATTAGGATTGCAAACAATTCAGTTTGCAGTGAAGAAGCCCAGTTGTTAATTCTTATGCCTAGGTCAACAAGTTTATTATGGTTCTTAACTAGGGAGGTGGCAACAAGAGCAGATGCAGCCCTGCCAGAAGACTCCTGTTTAGACTCATCAGTGTATATAACTTGTGATAGCTTATTACTACCAGCCAAGCGAGAAATTTCTTCTTGAGCAGTTGCTTTAACAAGTGATTTAAGGAAGGGATTACTAGCAATGAGCTTCTTGGGAGGGATGTAGCTACATTCATCAGACACCTTTTGGCATTCTTCTTGAACTAGTCATAGCATGAACCAGTTCAAGAAGAGTTCCAAAAGGTGTCTGATGAATGTAGCTACAGAAAGGGAGGGGAATGATTTTCTGTTTTTTAGCTAACATACGTGTAAATTTTACCTTATTCCTAGTAATGACCCTCGTATTGTAGATAGTCTTAATGACCCTCGTGTAGTAGATAGTTTTTTTAGTATAATAATAAGATGTTATCTTCATTATAGAATAATAAGAAAATATTATAACCTTTATATTATAATAATAAGTAAAAGGACCCCAAAGGAAATAAGTCACTCTGACTTTTTTGGGTTATCCAGGTTCTCTACACACATGCTGCTATGTATGATAATTCTATGTAACTGTATTTGTGTATACCTGAATAAACTTACTTACTTACTTGCAGGTATGTGATATTAAATGAACGTCGTCGTATGCTCCTCTCTTCTATGTGCAGGTTATTTGTGAACACATCTTCCATGGAGGGTGAAATGTTCTTGTTGTCTACAGTGATACAGTTCATGCAGGTTATAAAACTTAATGTAACTGTATGTTTTCACAATTCATTTAGATCTGTGTGTATATACTTCTAGACATTTAGTAATATTCATTATGACAGTGTCTGGTTCATTTCTTAATTTTCTAATACCGAGTAGTGTTAATTTCAATAATCCTATCACTGATACTAGAAATACCAAGCTCCTTCCTCATATTAATAACCTTTGTAGAATTGGGACAGCCATATTAACTCAACTCAATAGTCGGAGAGAACTTTCTACCTAAATCAGCATAGGGGCAGCATATCAATTAAGGACCTAACATTAGACTATATACGTCATTCTCACGATTCTCACATTAGCACCGTAGTTTGGGTTGTAGCCAGCAACAGCTTTGAGAGCATTTAGCCTATCTGTGCATTTCTTATTTAGTTGTGGTATAGTGGATTTGTTAAAGGGTACATCTACACCAAGATATCTGTAAGTTTTAACGTAGCTAATGTTTTCACCCTGCACATAGATGGGTGGGGGACGTCGTTTGCTTGTTAACATCTTCGTTTTAGAGGAGGAAGATATTATGAGGCCTAGTCGCAGGAGAAGTCATGTGGAGAGGTATGGAAAGAATTTGCTTCTTCAGCGGTCTGGGCTTTGGCCACAAAATGTCTTGTACTGACGCTGTTATTAGTTATAAACTTTATCTGCCTTTACTATTTATTCAAAAATGATAGCAGGTG